GCGTGTGCACAAAACAGCCAAAATTTGAACGGGCAGAAAATCAATAATTGTTTACCTCCAGTGACTTCCTGTTTGACCTACATATGGTTGTTCTCCTCTTCCAAAAGTTGTCCTCTTCCTCTGTTCCGCATGTCCGCCAAAGCCCTTCCCCAAGAATGCTGGCCGCCCCAACCTCTTGACCCATTTCACTCGAATATACGCGTGTGGCAAAAACAGTCACGATTGCAAAAGTACCTATGGGACACGCCACCCTTCCCCTCTCGGTTCAACTAGGGAAAACGCACTAGAGTCACAGTAGTTGTGACTGTTTTACCTGAACATCCCCCTCGCCCGGCCGACGCACCGCCGACTAACTACTTGAACAAACTACCCCCTCCTTCCCTAGCCGACATCCGTTTTGGGCTTCTGTGCACAACCCCCCCCCTTCCGGGCAAATTTTCACACCAGTCGGATGCCACATGAATTAGCCCCAAAGTCACATAAAGCAACGGTCGCCCCCTCTCCCAAGAGTGCCTCCATTTTGCATATATATGGCGTTGTTGAATGTGTGTCCTTCCATTGTCTAGACTCAGGCGATATATGTCGACTCCCTTGTTCTTGATTATGTGTACCTATTGTTAAGGTTTGTACCTTGTTTATCCTTCACTATTTGTTAGATAGTACCGTGGTACATTGATTATCGTTATCATTAGGGTTTGACGTAGGCTTTACTACTGGATACAGAGTTAAAGGAGTTAAGACACTCGAAAATCGACTGTTTCCACATTTGGATCATTTTCTTTAAGTGTTTCCCTTAGTGGGCTGAAGAGGATTCAAGAAGCTTGTGGCAGCTCAAGCTAACGAAAAATCCTTATATTCACTTTTTGGTGCGCCGGTCTACTACAGCTTGCTTTGGACTCTGAAAAAAAAAGCAGTGGTTTAGCCATTTCTACGCAAATGACCATCGGAGGACCATTTATCTTTAGAAATCATTTAGTAACTAAATTAGCACATTTTAATTTCAGAAGAAGCGTTTTCATACACTACGGTCCTGCAACTCACCTTGGCATCGGTTTACGTGCCCACCCGAAACCACCAAAAACAGGATGACTATGGAGGTTTTCGGACCGGCCCGGGACGTTAATATCCTCGGGTATGATCCACCAATCAATGGTCTGATTGAGGACGCCATGTCCCAGAGTCTCCGTTGATCCGTTGTAATGGTCCGAAAAGGCTCGCATAAAATCTCGATGTGGAATTGACCAGTTTGGGCGGTAGATGCAGCAGGGACCATAGCCGTATTCGTTTGGTGACACTAGGTAAGCTGTGGAGTTGAAATTGATGAAGGTACAAGGGAAATAACTGGCCGGCTTGAAGATGGGTATACAGTAGTCGGTGTAATTTTCAATTGCCATGTCCAGATCGGCGGCATACCAAGTTGAACCACGGCCAATGGCAAACGGCAGTGCCGGAGGAATTGCATCCGTCCAAGGTGGCGCGGGCATCCCCTCATCATCCCGTGGAGTATATGTAAGGGTGAAATCGGTGAAGTACCTTACGGGTAGGATTGGAGTCTCCACCTTGCGATCGGCCTGTTAAAATAGTCCGCTGTTGTACGATTGTATAGCAATAACTACTCAAACGAATAAAGTAGGCAAGTTAGGTGCGTTAACAAACTTTGCGAAGTTGGTGATCGGAACCAGCGCGGTCTCAGCGAATTCTTGGACAATACAATTAAAAAGGAGTTTTCTCACGCTAACAAAACTGTTTAAGGTCGAGCAAATCCCATGTTGGTAGATTTAATGAAGTCCCTACATTTTCTGTACACGAGTACGAAAGGGATGCAAGTGAGACTAAATATGGCTGCATTTGGCACTGAGTACAGAGCATTTTTAAAATCTCTACTACTCCAGTTTTTTTCTGTTTGTACAATGGATAGTAAGCCCACTGCAAAATCCAAATTTGCTACGCAAAGCAGAAATCTACCATGCATTTCATATTCTTAGCCAAAAATGCCCTCTGATTGTCATGCCCAACTCTTCGTCGTGCTTCTGATATTCTCGACATAGCACTTCAGAAAACGACAAAGAACGGAGAGAAGGAAAAAACCTCAAACCAAAATCGGGATCAAATCTAGGCAACCGATTACCAGGTTAATTGGAGATTGATCGCACGCTCTAGCTGCCACCATACGTCGAGTTCCTCTCGCCGTACGTAGGCTAATTCCAAGTAGCGCAGGTTCCGATTTGTTCGCGCCCGAACATGTACTCGGAAAGCTGCTTTGAGATCAAAAAGTGACCACCGTCTAGCGTATGGTAAGTAATCGAGGACAATGGGACTCTATTTTCTTGATAAAAAAAGCTAATTAGGCAAATTTTTAGCGGCAATTGGGTGCCTTGATGTAATCAGGATTCTGATCTGTGTTAAATTCTCCCCACCCCCACTTTTTTTCCCATAGGCTGATTTAAGATAGTGTCCTTCATCTGATCATTATTTGCGGTGGACGACGCCCCTTGCCGTTATGCACTGAAAGTATGTGAAGATCCAAACTGTACTGTATGCTTCCACGAGTCATCTGAAGCATACAAAGACGGATGACACTTGAAAAGCTTTTATGAAATTTACTGGCTCCAATAAATCCTGATGCCTGTTTTAAATTCACTAAGTGATACCGACAGAAAAACCACCACTGCAAAGCATACATCATGAGACAACAAGCTCATGTCTTTTGCGTTGTTTTAACATGTTATTTTTTAAGGCACTTTACGCTCTGACATCAGTCGAATATTACATAAAAACACCATGCAAGGAAGCAACTGACAACTTTCAGCCCGATAGGTCAGACTACACTTGGAGATCACTTTGCGGTCCTGAGACGCAGTGTTATAAAACCTCTTTAACTACCACCCGGCCACCTGAACACCTCTAGGGAACCCAAGACACGTCGCACGGGGCTGTCCGCCTGTTAAGGAAAAAAAACGTCATCCTCCGTACATATTCTTACCGCCACCTAGCATTGTATAGCATGTAATTAGGTCCATAAAAATTCTGGCAGTTGGTGCGGACGTATGTGAAAGGACCTTGGATATATCAACCAATGAGATTTCGATAAGCTGTGCCAGTCTTCCGGTCCATAAAGTACCTAAACTAGGGCCGAGTGGAGCCAGAAAGTGCATGAAGCTGTAGGAAACCTAGTGCTGCGGTGCGGCCGATGGCAAAAGGAAAAAGCCACGCTTGGGGCCATGTGGCAAGTTATCCACGGCATGTTCGGCCGGAAAACCAATATCGCGCACGGAAATATCGACCACGCGTGGTTACTCATCCGTGCGGCGAGGCAATAAGTCGATATATTCGCAGTGGTAATATCCACGCATGAGCCGGCCAATCAATGAACGCCACGTCACGACCGGAATATTCCAGAAGGCTTGTCACACGCCATTGACAGCAATGTTCAAAACGACCAGAAATCTTATCAATAAGCTGGCGTTGATGAGCTAGGGAAATCCGCTGTTTCTGAAGGTCTTGAAACAAGTTTTTATTGCTTATAAGCTGGAAGGCAGGCATCCCAAGAAATGTAATTTCAAGGAAAGGCGTCCTTTGGGAAAATCAGTAAATTTATTCAGTAAATTTTCGACACTGAATTCCAAGGTCGTCGTTAAACTTGCGAAAAATGTGCAAAGAACGCATTTTTTTCAAGTCTGACGACGACCTGTGGATCCACTGTCGAAAATTTACTGAATAAATTTACTTAGTTTCCCAAAGGACGCCTTTTCTTGAAAGTTCATTTCTTGGGACGCCATCCTTGAAGTTTTTATTCTCAGAAACCGATCCTCTTGCCTTTCCCCGCTTACTGGTCGTGGTCTAACACCAAGTATCTGGGTAACTAAAATTAACCATATACTGCTATTTTGGGCATCCCATTCTGGGCGCCCTATTCCTTATTAGGCCTGGCGATGCTTCAGAGATGGGCTGAATCTGATTTAAGTCAGGAGCCTCTGGGTTAAGCCCCGGGATCTGATGTCAGAGTTTCTATCAATCTCTGGGTAAGCTAGCGGTAACGTGACCCTCAATAGGATATCATTCACAGGTACTAAGCTTTAGAACATAAACAATAAAACCAACAAGTACGTAAATGGTGTTCGCCCGCCCTACTGAAGGTAACTAAAGAAACATCTGTTATACAAGTATTTTTGGCTCGAAACTGGCTCCTGTGCGAACATGCCGGATAATTTAATTGGAGCATTTTAAGAAACCAGATCTTCAGCGGAAGTAGGCGCTTGGAAACCTATACCAAAGGACGCCTGCAAGGCCCAGAGCGTTCATCTGGAAATTAATTGTAAAAGTAAAAAGTAATTTATATTTTTTCGACGGAATCAGTCAGGGTTTGAACTGTGGGTTTTTCATGTAATTACTAATAAATGGGTCTTCAGTGCAGAGTTGTCTGTTGGAAATTGCTGTAAAAGACTTAATATTCTGTGGAGATTGCATGCTGGGCAGTTCCTACGGCTTAGCTTTTTCTGGAATTCGAAATTAAAGCAACAAACGGTGAGAAAGAGAAGATGCAATCTTTGGAATATCAAGCTTATTGACTTGACGTTTCGGATTCTCGCTCGAACCCGTAACTACGACTATCTCCGGCGATGGTGGGTTCGAACAAAAATCCGAATCGTCACGTCGGCAGACCTTAGGTTCCAGCGATCGTATAAACTTAAGTTTCCTAGAGCTCGCCTGTTTGTTTCTATCGGCAAAAAGCAGGAAAATTCAGGATACTCACGGTGAATTTAATTACGCTCCCTGCGA